AAAAGAAAAATAAATTATTGATTTATTGTTCTGGGATTTTACCAGGTCATATAACATGGGACATGATTATTTTTTTGCTTTAGTAGTTAGCTGCTTATGTAAAAGCCTTCAGGGAGTCAAGTCTCAGTGCAGTCAAATGCAAACTAAGTCTCAATTTTGTGACTTAAATGGGACTGGAGTTGGTCCACAGCTCCGGTTATGTGCTGTAAAATCACAATGTATAGCACATTATGGGTGTGTAAATGGGTAGATTTTCAGTGTGTGCATTAGACCGTTTCATATCAGCAGTATATTGACTGCCGCAATGCACCTCCTTTATCCACCTGCTCTTTTCACTATTTCCTTTACCTCGTCCTCCTTTGCTTCTCGTATTTCTGTCTCCATATTTTATCTGTCTTTTTTGCTCCGTCTCTGTCCTTCTGTGTCTCCGTTTCCCCCCACGGCTTCAGTATGAATGAGATTTTTTTTGTTCAGTTCACTTCATAACTGCCTTGACAAGTTCCATATTGATTGCGCTGGCTGATTAGAATTGATTTCTTTCTGCGCTGTATTTTCCTTTCTGTCCGGTTCTTTTCCCGGTATGATGAGCATTTTTCAGTGTCCATTTATCAGAATGACGTTTTGGATTCTTTGGCCCTTCGGAAACAAAACGACTGTAACACACTGTATGACAAAAAAAAACCTGAAGGAAAAATCAGAGCGAGGAGTTGATTAAAGATATGCTCAGTGAGGTTTATTGTGTTTTCTAAATGTTTTTCCAGAAACTAAGACCTCCCCCATACCGTCCTCCAACGCACCACAGAAGGCTGAACCTCCAGTGGGCAGAGCTGCCAGGCTTCTCACGTTTTTCTCCCCTTTGCTGTTAGGAATGCTGCTGCTGTTCATGTGGTGAGTGAGAGCACACACACACACACACACACACACAGACACACACCTTTTGTAATGAGTCTACAAGCCCTCATCTTTGAATTGATTACGAACTCAGCCATTCAGTCACATATTGGCAAGTCGATGCATGTCTATTGATGTCAAGAGCATTTTTAATAGAACAAGAGCAACAACGATTGAGTGAGTTAGTTTTATGACCCAGCAGGGGGTCTTTCTTCATATTTTTCTGCAGAACCCCTGAAGGGCTTGAGGCAAAAATCCAATCCAAAGCTGTCCCATTTCATTAATTTTACAGTTTTACTCTATAACTCATGTTGTAATAGTACGTGTCCTGTTTAGGTGTAGATGTTTCACAATGAATGCTAAAAAGCTGAATGTTATAGATCACAACACAGACTGTGAAGGTCTGCGAACATGAAATGGTTGTTACAGCATATTTGATCAAAAGACAAACACTGGAAAAACAACATATTAACCAAATGACATTAAACATGGCTGCATCTCCAGCTGAACACCTGCTGCTCATTTTAACCACCGGAGGATAAAGCCAGCCAGGTTTAGTTGGATGAATAAGGTAGAGACACATTCATGCCAGTTTCCCCACCCTACCCTCGGCTACAGGAAGTCCAACTGGAAAACTGTTATGTGCCAGTTACACACAGTATCTCCCCAGATTAGTTTTTATATAGTTTATATAATACAAATAATATGTTAATGTTAACACACACACCTGAGGCAGACTGTGCTGTACTTAGATACACTTGTAAGGTACTTGTTCTTATCTCATTTAAAGGTCCAGTGTGTAACAATCAGGAGGATCTATTTGCAGAAATGGAATATAATATCCATAGGTACGTTGCATAAGTGTATAATCTCATGAATATAAGAATCGTTGGAATGTTTTTGTTACCTTAGAATGAGCTGTTGTTATCTACGGATGCCGCGGGTCGCCTTCCATGGAGTCCGCCATGTTTAACCGCCATGTTTTTACAGTAGCCCAGAATAGACAAATACTGGCTCTTGATAGGGAGGGTCAAGTGAGGGAGTCGTGATCTGCAACTACACCGCGAGATGCCACTAAATTCTACACACTGGACCTTTAAATGCCAGTTTATATTAATACTCCACCACAGTTCAGACAGACATGTACTTTATTTTGCTCCACTATGTTTATCTGACAGCCACACTTAATAGCTACTTTACAGATTAAGACTTTGCACAAAAAAAACATTTAACTACGCAGTGCAGTGCATAGTTAAAGATTAAGTGGTTCCCCTCTAAGCTTCTCACATGGTTTAATATAAACTTGAACTTTTTGAGGTCCAATAAAGTAAAAATGTTTCAATACTTCACAAAGAAACCAAGATTATATAAAAGTAAAAAAAAATGAATAGAGACTTATGTATCTGAGCCACAGATGTATCACTGGACTAAACTACATATATCTCCACCTTAACTACAGCAGTTAGATGCTGCTAACACACTGATGCATCCGTATTTACATTCTGAGTCACAGGGGCCATTTTTCTGCAACTTTTACTTTTTGATACTTTAATGAGATGCAGCTTGAGATGCTTAATTTGTGCTTCTGTCTCTTTCTCCAGATGTAAATGTCTTATTCCTGAAGGCAGTGGGAGGAAGAAGAGGAGGAGGAGGAGGCTGGTCTTTTTTCTATTTTGCACATGTTTCAAGGATACAGTGCATTGATCATTTCTGTCCATCACACAGTTACTCACCAAGATTACTTAGACATGAAATCAGACGATGATAATGCGATTCAGCATTTTTGATTAACGGTGACAAAGAAATTCTTCAGAGGAACTTTTGAAAGCGACATCCTCATCATCAACAACAACAACAACAACAACAACAACAACAACAACAACAGCAGCAGCAACAGCAGCAGCAACAACCACAACAACAACAGTGAGATCAGCATAAACAGTCTTACAGTACCCCCTGGTGGCTTCGATGGGCCGCAGCAGACTTTGTTTGGCAGACAACAGTTTGGTTTGGGAAAAATCAACTCCTCAGATGACAAATTCTCCCCTTATTACCTTTTTGTTCTTTTTTTATTCATAGTTTTAATTTCCACTTTCTTTCAAATTGCAGCACTGTACAGACAAACACACATACCTAGAGCATATGCGTGTGCGTTTGTGTGTATAGTCACCGTAGCAGTCCCCATACAGCTAAATCATCATGCCAAAGACTCAACTTCACCCCCCTAACAAAAACGGTTCCCAAACAATTCACTGAGCTTCCTGAAGCCTGTGTCTGCCTTTGTCATGGGTTCGCAACCCCAGAGAGATGTGTGCGTGCGGGTGTGGTTTTTTTTGCACAACACCCGATTTGAGAGCGACTCAAACGGTACACGAATGAAACTGAGGAACCCCCGCAGCTCCTGTTTGTGAAAACCAATCATTTAACAAAGAAGCCACAAAAATACCCAATCAGACTCTGATTCTGTCAACTCGGAGCGCTGAATCCAACAGATGGAGCGAGTCGTTTTTCGATATGAGGACTAACACTTTGAAGAATTCAATAACGGTAGTCTGGCTTATTTAGACAGTTAGCTTTACACTTTGAACACTTCTTTCTCTCTTTCTTTCTTCCCTTCCCTATTGCACCTTTTTTTTACACACTTACTTGAAGAAGGTCACAATGAGATTAACATCTCTTTCTCAAGGGAGAAACCTGTCTGTCTGCTTTCATCTGTCACTGATCATCTCCATCTCCGTCTTTTCATATTTTTAATACATTCTATGAAGGTCATACTAGCGAACTGTCTGTTGCTTCTGTCTGCATCTGTCTGTGTGCTGTCTGTTTACATGCCTTGCTACATGTTTGTTGTTATGCTGTTTAACCGAGTTGCTTTCATCCCTTGGTACTGTATCTGTGTGTATGTTATCAGACATTCATGTTGTAATTGCCACTATCCATTTCCTATTGTAATGCCGTGTGTATCTGGTTGAGAAAGGGTTTCATGTAGCCAAAGTGGCAGGCCAGTGTTCCCTCGTGAGAGTGATCTAACAAAGACTGGGTCATTCAATATCTTCTGAAAAGCATTGAATTTAATTCTTTCAATCTATCCGTCTGTGTAAGTGTATTCAGAAACACAACAATTATACATGGCTTTTCATCAGGGAATTACGACTTTTCCTCATATGCCCTGCCGCAGCTCCCTCAAACATTTCCAGCTTCTGTCTTCACAGCTTTTTTTCTATCCCCATCTCTGGCTATTTATTTTCCATAAGAGAAAATAGATACATGTTGATCTTAAGCAAATACTGAGAGACGGATAAAAAAAAAAGAATGGACAAAATCAGTATATTGGAGTATTGGGTATGCTGACTTTTTGTCCCTAGTATGAGTCAAGCTTTAAAAACTCTGGATCATGCAACTCAATAGCATCTTTCATTAGACATTCCCTTCCTGTCCTTTTATTTGACCCTTTCCTCATGTTAAAACTCCAATTTATAAGGCCGGTTTTCTCTCAAATACTTGAATTCTCAAGCCTAAAGGCGTATTCGCATTATTGTGGAAAAACAGATTTTGGGCGCTGCTCCTCCATTAATGTGTATGTGGTGTGTTGTGACTGCTCTGGGCGGGTGTCCACAGTGCACGGCACGGAGCGCGGGGTGCAGCTAAAGTTAGAATTAGTTTACCTTTGACCCAAGCTGCACTGGGCTTTGTGGGACCAGTTCTTGTACTGTAAGATGGACGAAAAAATGATTACTTGTGTTTCTCAATTTCCAGGACTGATTACAAAAAGGATATTTGCTTGGCGAAATGTCAGCGTACATTCAGATGCAGTTAAAGCACAGTTTGAGTCCGTAGCTCTCTGCTGTTAGCAACACTAACATTGTAGCTAAGGTGGAGCAGAACTAAACAAGAGTTCAGGAGTGGTTAATACCCTGACCAATGCAAAACACGCAGCAAAGACCCTTTTTTTCCACTGTAATGTGAATATGCCCATGAGTACTAATTCTCCCTCCAGAGACACAGAAGACATCATGGGGAGCCCTATGAATCATGAGTAAACTGACCTTAATGTGTTAAATCGGTTTGATACCCCTTTAACTAATTGCTCTTATCCACCCCACAGTCAAACCAGACCCCCCGGAGCGTGTGACTGCGACCCCGATCCGTTTCAGCGCTCGGAGACTGGAGGTATCCTGGCACAGCCCTGCAACCTGGCCTGACATCGACAACTTCCCTCTGAAATACTTCCTTCGATACCGGCCACTCATCCGAGAGCAGTGGCAGCATGTAAGTAGCACTGCTGTGTGTTTATTCACATATCATCATTATTATTATTTATTATGATTTACAAGCAGTCAAGATACCAGAATCTGGATTGGAAAACATTTAAGCCACCAAATCATAGGACTGAGTTTCACTAAATAACTGAACACATGGACATTAATCATACATTGTTAGTAGGAATCTAGTGGATGGGAATTAGCTCCTCACTCATGAGTAATATACCTTGTCCTGAACAAAATCTGGCCGGCCCATGCTCTAAGCCAAAAATAAATGGAGTTATAAATGGTCAAGAGTGTTTGTCCAGATACGCCATTACCAAGAGCTGTAAGTCAACATTGAAAAACACCTGTTAGAGTATGATTCATTATTTGGTATTTGAAAACCTCTTGTGAGCACGTCTTATTTCTCTTTTTGGAAGCGGTGTTCTGAAGAAAAAGACTGGCCTCTCTCCATACTGCAGATTGAGTTTCACCTCATTGCAAAAAATATTTCTCAAAGGGAATTTTCTAGAAGCAGTAGAGATTGTCTTTCAACAATAATCATCTTAGCTTATCACACATTTATTTAGGCATCTATTGAAATGAAACCTACTTTTATCCTTCTGTATTATCATGATTACCCAAATCAAATTAAACACAAGGACAAACAGAGAACATAAGAAAAAAAGACTACAGATTATTTGTCCAGAGAGATGGCTCTGACAACTGTTAGAGGTAAGAGTGAAATGCAACCTGTAGCCGTTTGAGTTTGATCCCTGGTCAGACACACATAATCGCTCAGCTTCTTTGGTGTATGTTACTGTATCTGACTATTTCTTGTGGGTTCAGTCCCCTCAGGGCTTCATATAGTAAAAGCATATGTGTCCACTATAGGATTCCCGGGATGAAAGCTCCCTCTACCAAGGTCTAACATTGCAGCCTTATTATCTTGCACGTCAATGGTCTGCAAAGGTGTTGTTCCAAGAACTTGGGTTACGGTCCCTCTCATGGAAACACACACATACACTAACACACATACCGTTCTTTCTTTTTCAGTCTTTCTCTCACTCTTTCCATTCCCATATATATCCTTCAACAAGTGTCTTCGTCATTACCTCGCTGCGTCAATATTTCCATTTTTTTTGTCCTTTTCTATCTCTCTCTTCTCCCATCTTTCCTATGTCTTTTCTTCTACTGTCACAGCAGTTCACTTTCTTTGGTTTGAACCGTTGCAGAGAAGTTTACTTTGTGGTGTCTTTTGTATATTTTTTTGTGTCATTAGTTCGGTATATTATGTATAAAACAATATATAGTAAAATATCAGTAAAGCCAATTATTTCCAGGCACCTCAGTGTGATTATTTGCCACCACTTGGCATTGTTCTTACCTAGTTCAACTAATAACGTAATGCACCTGAGATGAGTAAAACCCCAAGACATCCTTGATTTTAATTCTCCTCCTAATTACGCTGCTTTCAGGTCCTTTACAGTGATAAACTAAGGGCTTACTTTGTAATTAATAATGTAATTAATCAACAGAAAAATAATTAATTGACTAGAACAATATGGCTCGGCAGGAATGGATATAGTAATTCAAACATAGCTCACAAACATGTATGTACACTGTATGTTATCAAAGTTACCTCGTTGTACAAAACTTTAGTCACACAGTCGTACATGTAAAGACATGTGTTGTCTACACACATGCACATTCAAGCTCTCTCTCTTTCTCTCCCTATATGTCCCTTCCATCTCACACACACACACACACACACAGCAGTTGGAATGAAGGAAGTTATAATAAGGCCTTAGATCTTTGTGGTATAAATCAATGATTAAACCTGACACACACTCTTAGTTTCCCTTCTCGCCCTCACCACTAATCAATCAATATGTGAAGTGGTGTATAACGTGAAAGGTGGGAAACCTTAAGTCAATATTTGGATTGGGTAAGAACACGTAATTTGAAAATTACATAAAAACAGTTGATGACAGATGAAAAATGCAGGGTTTCCCGTTTTTTGCATTGGTCTTTGATAAATGTCTCCATGGTCATGCTTTTAAGTTTTGTAGCAGTTAGTGTGGTTTTCATAAGGGGCTGTTCTGATCCTACCACCTACCTCTGGACTTAGGGTTGCACTTCTGCCCCTTTTATTAGGTGATAGTTAACAGCTAACATCATTGATCTTTGTGTATGGAATTTGTTTGTACATTATTAGCTCGATTTTTCCTTTGATGGTCAATATTATGTTACCTTGATTCAAGAATATTCTTTCAATAGGTCAGTTTGTAAAATAAATAAGTAGCAGCAGATGCAAGTTTGTAATTTCAGTATATCATTAATTGGAGATCAGTCAGTTGATTCAAATAACCTGGTGTTGTGTTCATTGACAGCTGTTTCCCCAGTCGGAGAAAGAACAGAGCCACTTAGAGCATTTACAGCATGATTAAAGCCCAAATTATACTTTCCACATCTGCATAGCTGTGAAGGTCTGAGGCGTATATTTTTTTTTCAAATTCTTTAACACGCAGACACACATGTATATCCATGTTAATGCAGAGCTATGAAGACAACCAGTGCAGTATGAACAACACTTAATGCGTGTCCTCTGCCTTTGCCCGTGTTAGTTTTGAAGTATGTCCCGGCCACCTCTCTGTGCCAGTATCAGACTCTACCCTGAGTCACCTGGACCTTTAAATGTCCTTGCGTTGTAAACATGTCTACCCTTCTTGAATACCTGCAAAGAAACCCAGCATACTATTACCTGCACAGTTTTCTTAGGGCCATGTAATGGTGTTGCCATGTTAAAAGCAGACTACATCAACACTGTATGTAGAACAACTTCTGTTGGTTATGGCAGCTTGTCACTAGCTGCGATTAGAGTTGATCATGGCTGATTACACTGTAAATCCCATGTTTAATGATTGACTATAGTAGCACACTGTTGTAGAAAACATTTGGGTTTGAAACTATCAAGCCGTGACATAAATCATTAAGTGGAGTTTAATGAGGTTGCCAAAACAAGTTACACTGTTTATTGGCCTCACATATACTTAATTAATTATAGCCTCAGAGGTTGAATACTAATTGAAGTGGTTAGCATTGCTTAGGAATTTACCTTTTAATGTGGTTAGACAGCAGAGCTGGGTGAGAATGGTTTTCACATGTAACATTTTGAAATGTGTTTTGAGTCAGAAATGAAAGCGGTGGTGTGATCAGACTGATCTTTAGAGGAAACCATCCATCCTCCTGAGGAATGAAGGGATGACTAGCCCAGATACTTAGAGTGATGGAGATTCAGAAAGAAGGAGGAAAATGGGGAAACAGTTTTGAAGTAGAGATGAATGGAGTGCATCAGACAAGGAAAAAAACGTTAATGGATAGCAGACTCTCGTAGATACAAGAGAAAGAAGCAGTATATATAAATAAGATAGACATTCATGGACTTGAGTTATGGAGTGACAATGGTGATTGATGAGGGATGGGATTAAAGAAAGGAAAGTGCTTATTGCATTTGAAAAAGACCATGTTAAATAAAGCATATAAGCCTAAGACATTATTTGATTATAAAAACTGAAAGAAGAATAGATTGTAGAAAACTGTTATATGAAGAGGAACATGATTAAATGTATGGAGCAACATCACCCTCCCAGATACACTGATAAATGCATGAAAGCATGAGAGATGAGAAGAAAAAGATAGCACTGGAGGCTACTTTGAAAGTATCAGTTACAAGGTGTTTCAAGTTAAAGGAGGATGGATTAATGGTTCAAGGGAAGAAAAGAAAGAGGAATGACAAAACAAAAATAGCACATCAAAGATTTTTACCTGTGACTGACATAACCAGAAAACAGTAAAACAGACATACTGCAAGAGTGAGTTTGATTTTTTAACCATATCATTCAGCTTGAAAAGGTTACGGATTATGGTCTTGCTAAATGTGAATGTGCAATCTTTAAAGCCCCAGAAAAAGAAAGCAACTAACTAAAATAGACATGGGCATTGTGTATTTAATTTGTAAGAAGCTACACCAGCACCTGTTGGTTTAATAATAATAAATTCCTTCAGGATGTGCATTGTCGTAATGCCTGGTTATTTATTTGGTTCTTACTTTTTGTATTGGCACCTATGCTGGACGCTGGCATCTTGATGCGCATCATTGCTTGTTGATGCGCACCGACCCATCATAGGCAGCAGTCTTATTTCTTGCGTGCCTCATTGCTCCAGAAAAATGGCAATTTCATCACATTTGCTCCCCAGATTCCGGCCACCATACCTCGACTACTAATGTGTTTAGCACAGCCTGTGCTCCAAGGCTTCTGTTCAAAACAATGGATGCAACTCTACATGCCACTGCCTCTGTTGTGTACTTAACTGAGTAATCAGAAAGGCTAATATGGTCCTTGAATACCCCGATCATCCACTCTATAAAGATGTCTTTCCTTTCGGCTGCAGGTTAAAAGGGTCCAAAACACCACATGGCGGGCAAGTCTCCTGTTGCTCAGCGGGGAGGTTGTTTTTTGTTGTTGTTGTTGTTGTTGTTGTTCTCTGCACATAACATTACGTCACAATGTGGAATTGAGAGTTAATTATCAAACATGCAAAAGAATTGCCACATGAGAATACATCTGTATTCCTGTAAATGTTCAGTGAATTGTTTCCCATGGTCTTGTGTTTCCATCCCACCCTCACTGCAATTAAAGCAATGGTCCAGTAACTGTGATAAGAACAATTTCAGATTGCTCAATATTCTCTTTGTGGTATGAAACTGCATCTGCTGCACTGTAATTGCCCTTTGGGGATGACGCTGAACTCCAGTCTACTGAAAACACACAAATGCACGTGCAGGCACTCAAATGCACAGAAACACTAATACACAGACAGAAATGAACACATGCACACGCACGCACAGATGTATATACACTCTTATATGCTGGTACGCATACAAATGCTCACACACATATTCATGTCATGTTCTTTGCAATTGCAAAGATGAATATACATGCAGATGCTATCCAATCGCTC